CCTGCAGCGCCCGGCGTGGCGTCAGAGCCAACAGGCGGGGACGCCCGGGTGTGTGTCCTGCCCCGGCTCCGGGGAGGTCAGCCTGGTGCTTCCCAGCGTGTCCTGTAGCTGAACCTCGGGCCTGTGGGGGCCTGGCCGTCCCCTCAGAGAGAGGAGTGGGTACGGTGAGCCTGCCTCCCCCGGCTGGCGGTGTGACCCCAGGAAGTCCTTCCCAGCCCTGGTCTCTTTCCTGCATCCGTGTGACCAGGAGCAGCCACCAGTAGAGCAAGGCCTGGGTGTGTCTCCACAGGACAGGAGCGTCACAGGCCAGGGTTCAAGTTGCTGCCCCAGCTGCCACTTCCTGGCTCCTGGCCTGGGCGCGTTCCCTCCCGCTCCTTCCTCATCCATCAGGTGAGGTGTGGGGAGGACTAACCGCGATGAGTGTGTGCCGAGGGCCTGGCGCCCAGGAAGTGCCCACGTGTGCTGGACACTGGTCCGTGGTATTGCTGTGGGGACTGGACCTTCAGCCAGCCCCACCCTACACCTCCAGGGGCCGGGCCACCCTCCTCCTCAGCCGTCACCCATCTCTCCTCCCCACGGAGGCACATTTAAAGAGCTGGGCTCCGGCTGGCGGGAGGGGTCTTGGGGAGATGGGTCAGCCTCTCTGGGGGCTCAGCACAGCCTCCAAACTCCAATTTCTGGAATCACTGAGCTTTGCGGTTGCCCTGGAAACCAGACCCTTGAGGGGTCTCCAGCCAAGGCTGCCTCTGTGGGTTGCGGTGTCTGGACCAGGAGAGTGGCCCACCCTGATGCAGGGCTGACCTTGAGTCCCCTCTGGGGCCATCTGTGCCCTTGGGCTCAGTGCAGCGCGCCAGCAGGGTCACGCGGGAACGGCGTTTTCATCCTCCGGGCCCTGGGCTCATGGTCTAAGAGATGAGCCAGGACTTGGACTTGAACAGTCCTGGTTCTCTCCTCAGCCTGGACACTGTCTGCTGGGTCACCCTCCTGGCCTCAGTCTCCCGCTCTGTGTAATGGGTGCCTGGGATTCCTGAGGGATGGGGAGGAGTGTGGCCTGGTCCTTAGAATTCCTGGGGTTCCCTCTTGGTCTGACTCACGTTGGAGCTCCTGCTTTTGAGCAGGAGGAAAAGTCGGAAAGCTGACGGCTGGCTTCCACCCTCAGACTTGCAGGGTGACTCGGCCCCCCTCTGGGTCTCCCACAGCTTTCCCGGGAGGTTTTTCAGCCTCAGCTGGTGCTGGTGCTGGTGGTGGGGGCTGTGTGCTGCCAGCCATCCCACAGCAGCAGCAGGTCCCGCTTCCTGGCGCTTTCGTGTGCCAGGCACCGGTCTGGGCTTCGAGCCTCGTGGCCGCCACTGTGACCCTGTTAGAGAGACGCTCTTCTCCCCATTTCACAGGCGAGCTCACTGAGGCCGAGGGCGGAGGCTCGGCAGAGCTGGGAGTCAGAGCCCTTCATGCGGACCGTGCTCTGGGGTCTGCTGGGCTCTGCGGAGGGGCCTCACGCACCTAGGGCTGCTGGGGGCTGGTGGGTGGCCGGTCAGGGCCGCGGGGTGGCCTCGGTGACTCGGTGGACCCAAGCAGCAGCTCACAGTGGTGACCCAATGCACACGGGAGCCCTGGCGAACCCCTCGTTGTACCTTGAGGGCATTCGGGCTTGGCCTACAGTCATTTGGGGACAGCACCCTGCCGGCCCGCCACCCTGAAAAGGCTGATCCGGTGACACATTAACAGGTGCCCCCCAGGGCTCGGGGCTGTGGGGCACCCTGGGTGCCCATTCTGCTGGCCTCTGCTCACCAGGGCCTGGGGGCACCCCGCCACCTTCACTCCACTGGACCCAGGTGCTGGAAGGCACAGCTCTGAGGGGGTCCCAGGGCCCTGGGGTGCCTGCTTGGGTGGGACAGGAGGCTCTGTCCCCTGAGGACACACCATCCACGTGACAGTCTTTCCTCATCATAGCTCAGTGCTGCCCCGTGGACGCCGACCCTCAGGACATCTGTCTGCTAGGCCATCCCCTCCTCTCCGAGGCTCCCAGGCCCTGCCAGTGTCCATGGGGCCTGCTGCCCATGGCTGCTTCTGGCCCAGGCGGCCGCTCTGCTCACGGGGTGGCCCAGGGTCATGTATGGGTTCTGGGGGCGGATGCCCGGGCTCCGGCTGCTTTCCTCCCCTGGCAAGGGGGTGAGGCAGGGAACAGATGCCCACTCCGCCCGGGACCCGGGAACTCCCCATAGAGCCTGCGCCTGCCTCTCGGTCGACGGCTTCCATGGTGCCCGCACTCAGAGATGCTGTCGTGGTCTGGGTTGTCCCTGCGGCTGCTGCGGGAGGGGACAGGGAGGACGGGGGGCAGTGACTCCCCAGCCCAGCCTGTGTGCTCAGCATCCCGCCCTGCCCCCCAGTCGGCTGGCAGAGGGGGCCCCTGGGGTGGGGGCAGGGCTCAGGGATCACATGACGCCCAGGCAGGGCCGGCCAGCTGCTCCCAGCCAGCAAGGCCCATGGCTCAGTGCAGAGCCGCTATTTAGACCCGAGGCCCTGGCCCTGCCCGCGCGTTAGCCTGGCCAGGGAGCGCCCTGTCCAGCAGGCCTGGATGGAGGCCCGGGCAGCCAGGTGCTGTGTGGGCTCCAGAGGGGTTCGAGCCCAGTGCCCTCTGGCAGCAGGTCCTGCACGGCTTCCAAACTGGCGGGACCGTGGGCTCAGCTGGGCCAGATGTGGCTGGAGTCCCAGGAGAGGGCCAGGCCTTGGTGGGAGGCAGCCTCTGGGACTTGGAGGAGATGTCGGGGTGGCAGGGCTAACAGGCCCCCTCCCCCAGGGGCTCTTCCAGGCAGGCAGCGGGTGTGGGGAAGGATGGGCGCATCTGTTTCTGTTTTTCTGCTTCAGGAGGAGGAATTCCCCTCCCTGCTGGAAGGGCTGGGCCTCCCCAGCGTGGGCTGTGGGTGTGTGGGTGTGGGAGGTGCTGCTGTGGGCTCCCTGCTAACTTCCAGGAAACGGCCGGCTGTCTCCCTGGAGGAGGCGGCGAAGGCTCCGGAGCCGGTGTGATTGCCGCGGCTTTCCCGTTGGTACGATGCCCGGAGTGGGAGGGCGGCCTCTGGTCAGAGGAAGTGGGCTTCCGGAGGACGGCTCCCGGGCCCCCCAGAGCCCTCCTGGTTCCGGCCCCGGGCCCCGCGCAGCCCGGCTTCAGGACAGGGCTGTCAGTGGCCCGGGCTGAGTCAGCGCTTTGCACTGGGCCTCCTCTGAGGTCCACGCCCACCCTGCCTGGGGCAGTGACCTGTGCCTGGTCCCAGCTGCTGTCACTGACCGTGTGACTGATGGCCGTGTGCCCACTGGCACCTCCCAGCTGGCTCCTCCTGAGCCCTCGGAGGTTGGCATCTTTACTCCTAGGCCCCTTCCCTCCCCTGCAAGTTCACCCTCCCCTGGACAGGGCCGGCGGGGAGAGGGCTGTGCCGTGACTCAGTGGCCTCGTGCAGGCCCGGGTGACAGTGGGACGGGGCCACTGCCTCCGAAAACAAGGGCCTTCCTTTCTGCCGGGGTTCGGGCTGCAGCCGGCTGACCCCTCTTCCTGGCCCAGCCAGTCCCATGGCTTTGGGTCCTGCAGAACCCCAGCCGGCAGCCTGCACGTCAGCACTGTCCTCTTCCTCACCCTGTCCCCGCGCACATGCTGACAGGGAGCCGGGAACTCCTCTGTTGCCCAAGAAGGCACGAGGCCATGAATGAGCAGAACGGGAAGGAAGTGGCCCCCAGGGGGCCCCACACCTGCCAGACCCGTGATGCTGGCTCCAGGGCTGGGCTGGGAGGAGCGGCTATCCTGCGGGGTCTGCTGGGGTCAGGGGCAGGCTGCGCAGAGGAGGGGTGGAGGGGAGAGCCGCACGTCCCCCTGGGTGCCTGGATGTCGGGCCGTGGCGTCCCAGCGGCCGCTCGCCTGCAGCAGCGTGACTCCGACAGGTTGCTCTCCTCTCCGCCTCCACGTACCACCTGTGAGGTGACCAGGAGCAGTGCTTGTCGTGGGGGGCACCCTGGGTGGGAGCGGGTTGTTGAGGGGTGGGCTCGTCTTGTCCACACCCAGCTCCTGGCCGGCAGGGCCGGAGGGGGTGGCCCTGATGTGGATCCCCTTCTCAGGCTGTCCTCCTGTTTCCTTCTGGGTCTGAGGTGTGTGTGGTCACTGATCGGGGCCTCCCCCGGGGAACAGGGTGCATGGGGCACCCCCTGCAGCGTCGGCCGGCAGGGCCCTGA